TGGAGCTCTACCTTGTTCTGAATTTCCATTAAATTCTTTTCTCCACCCACAATAGTGATGATTAGAATTTAAGAATCTACGATGACCAAGAAAGACATTCTTTTGACCAAATTCTAATCGCGTCCAATCTGTGTTTTCTTCACAGATAGGACACGCACATTGCCCTTTAATGTTATACCCTGATAGATTTTCGTATGCTGGAAAATCATTAATTGTGCCAAACAACATTACCCTTAAATTGAAACTTTATTTCCTATATCCATCATAAACCTCCACACTATTCTCCCACAAACTCTTTAAGTCTTCGATTAAAGGTGTCAAGTATACGTCTATGTCATTCTCTGGTTGTTTAGGACCAGAAATTAACATAGATAACATCATGTACTTACGCTTCATACATAGCCATGGAGGTAGGTTATAAATCATAATAATTACAGGTCATGTGGAATGTGAGATACTTTGCAGACCATGCAGGTTCATTCCATCAGTAGATAATGTCAAGCGAATGTTTCTCACTGCTTCTCCAAAATCAAGATACTCATTATCAATTTTCATCCACTGTGGTGAATCTGTCGGATGCCGATACTTTACATCTATAATTCTATCATCTACATGTCAAGTCAAGTGTTTTACATCTGTTTCACTACGAAACATGCATCTAAATCACAGAATTATAGAAAAATACCATAACACTTTTATTGGGGACAACTTTTATGTTGACTTAAAACAATTTCTGACTTTTGCTTCTTGTTTCTTCCTCCACAAACTATTATGCAGAATGTTTCCTCGTGAATAATACATCATCTTGTTCTCTCTGCTGTGGATTTTGCTGTTGCAAATGTAGATGTACACCTTATTAATTTGGACTGATTTGGCTTTGTGACTTAGCATACTGTCTTGTTTATTACTGATATGCATCTCTTCATTGTTGTTGAAGATACCCTGATAGCTCCATGACCTGCGTGTTTTTGTGTTATGAATCTTTGAAAAGCTTTGTTTCTCCCATCATTATGCAGAATATTCTCACTTGACTAAGATACTTGGTTTATTCATCCTGCTATGCATTGCGGAAGGTATTTTGAAAGCTTTCTAACTTGAGTTTTTTGTGTTGATTTTTGAGGAAGTTTCTACCAGCTTGGCATCATATCATTACGAAAACCCTACAACCAAACACGGGCCTGCCAGCTTGAACTAGCTCCATGGTAAGCTCTCTTAAATCCAACTCTATTCCATTAATTTTCTGCAAAACCTCTTAAGCTGGCTTTTCTCATAAAACTTGGCCTGAAATGATTGACATCATGTATCATCCTTCTTCACGTTCATGCTATTCCTTCATGGTATGACAGCATTTTCCTCAATCTGACTAGCTCTGCTCATGGTTTTTTGCAAATATATTTCATTTAATTTCCTTCATGGTATTCCCATTTCTGACCACTTTGACAACTATCAGGCTGCGGGCCTGCTTTTGCTTGATCAAGATGTTGAAGTTTTAGATTGGCCACAAGGATGACTTACAAGGTTTTATTGGTGAAACTTGTAACATAAGCATCAAGGACAATAAGTCTTGGAGCAAAGATGTTCTTACTGCAAATTTAGATTTGTGAACCTTTTGTACTCTTTTGTAGCCTCTTAAGCTTTTGCAATCTCGTGCACACTGAACTCTTGGTATATTGTCCGTTAGTTTGTGATGAATTTTCCTAGATTGAAACTTAGGAATTGAAATCATGGTTTGTGGATTGCACATGATTTATGGGTTGTTGCTAACAGAGCAGTGTGGTGTCATTTCTTGTGATCTGAAAATTAATCCAATGTACACAAATGATGCAAAATTGTGCCTATTCTCTGATAAATATGTGAAGCCACTAATTTTCATGTATATCACAATTTCTACCATCTGCATTGCACCTTGAAACTTCTTTCAACATTATGTACTTTTTATACACAGCATGCTCGAACATCCTCATTTTTAATAATGCAGCACTAGTAGGTTTTGGGATATATGGTGGAACATAAAATAGAATGAAATAATTTAGAAGCAGAAGCACTGTGAGGTATGGAACAAAATCCTTGGATCTCAAAACTAATCAAGTTGAAGACTACCACGAGTTGCTATTGATATCAACCATAACATAAACCTTAATTCTAGCATGACTTGGATTGACCATATACCTTGATTACAAATGGATCATGCCATGAACTTATTGAAACTTTACTTGTATACACCCAAAAATTCAAACTTGGATTAAACAAATTCAAACAAGACCGCGTGATATTAACATCAATCTTGGAACATAATTTGGACTCGTTTTGAAATTTGACATAAGACCACCAAACACGAATAATCATGCCCTGAAATGAACCAATCCTATTACGTGGGTCGTTGATCTCGAAACAAAATCTTGCTTAACCCAAATTAGGTCAAATCAGATGATGGAAGGAAAGATGAATATTATGCACAGATAGGACAAATTTGGGGGACAAATTTAGGGTATGACACCTATACTAAAATAAAAATTCATATAGGTCAGCCTGATCATGCATGTGCCGGCCTGAAATGACTTGTTTGCGCAAAGACATGTTTTTCAATGCAATTATAATGTAGACTCCTCTTCAAACTTATTTGAATGATTTCTAATGCAATATGTTCATCTAGAACGGGAGGATATTGTCTATTATACATAACACTACACTATTCTAGTTTTGACATCACTCAAAATACAAAAAACACTCACACTAATTTATCTAACGACTCAGTGATGTTTTCGCGAAATTCAATTAAATTTTGTTCTTCTTCCTCATGTACAAACTCAACTCTTCCCTCAAAACCTTTAAAAAAATTCTTCCATTCTCAATAAATTTTTAGTCACCAAAGCATCATTCATGTATTTTATCACATCAAAGGAAGTAAAAGAAACATAAAATTAAGGTAAAGTTCTTTCATTTTATCCCTCATTCCTTGCATTAAATTGTTTATGAGCTAAGAAAAGAACGTTGAGTCTGAATATGCACCTCTGGACAAAGTTTGGCGTGTTTTGGAGATGCATCTTCGAATTTGCCTGATACTTTGAGTTTGAATTTATTTTTCCGCTATGATTGATGTTAGATATGGTGCACCCAGTTATGTTTCCCAAAACTACTGTGGGGATGAATGTTTAACCGACAAAGTGAAAGATGATGTTAAACTGATTGTTGTCGAGGTAGATGTGCACGAATAATTTACAAATAAACAAGAGTTTATTGTTTGCGAACGTATGCTACAATAGGTCCACGTAGAACCCGGAAATTAAAGTTTGGTGTTGGAATCGAAGGTCTGACAATAGTTCTGAGAGAAAAAAAAAACATTTGTATAAATAGAGTCTTTCATTCTATTTTCTTACAAAAAACTAGAATGAATATGTATCCCCATCTTACATTTGTTCATTTCAATGACACAAATCTCCTACTTGAATTTAGGGTCTCCGAAGACATACTTTTCATCGATCTGAAATCCAACTAAATATTCTCATGTGATATCCAAAAAATTAGAGAGTTGTAAATTTGAGTATCGTTCACCTTCCATTGACAACGAGGAAATATATGATTTACCATGCTTGAACAGACACAAATGTGAATTTAAAGGTATGTGAAATACATTTTACTTTTACTCAACAAAGGGTATGATTGAAATTGATGCAACAATCATAAGATCAATTGAAAATAATATAAGGACGTTGCAATGTCTTAAACCACTTGTTTGTAATAAAATGTAATGTTAAATTTATTTTAACATTAATGACTATCTATGTAATATTAAGTAACAATTATTTATGTAATATTAAATATTTGAATGTTAGTTTGTGTTGTTTTTCCAACACTTTGCAATTGTTTATGGTTGTTTCCAGTTTAACCTAACAAAATATATTTCAAAGATATATCTCTAAAAAAACATTGACTATTATTACATTAAGAGTGGTTACATTGCATCTCCAAACACCTCAATGTTGATACATAGATTACATAAATACATCTCTAAACACCTCAATGTTAATACGGAGATGCATCTTCAAATTAAATTTTAACAAAATAAAAGTCTCAGCAATTTAAGCTAGAGTGTGAAAAAAAAAAGCATTCAGATATACATTTTCAGGCCGTATGGTTTAGAGAGCAACCCTTTTAGAAACAATGAATATTCAGTGGTGATTTTTTTTATATGAACTTCATTTTCCTGGTGTATTTATACGTTGACATGAGACTTCAAGCAACAATTTGGTTTAGGATGGATTTAGCAAGGGCTGTCGTCTTTTAGCTACATTGACAAAAGAATCATGAAATAACGTGCACGTCTATAACAACTTTAACATCCGCTTTGAAACTTCAATTATTTGCATTAAATGATTGCCCACTATTGTCCACATAACAATATTTACAAAACAAAAAATGAAGGTAATATACACAAATAGAAAAGCTTTCAAAGAGTGGTATTATTTAATTATGTACACACATCTAGCTAAACCAATGAGGTAGTCATATCTACAATAACACCCGTTTAATGAATGAATATGAATCAAAAAGCACCAACCATATTGACAGAATATACAATTACTTTGTTGGAAAAGAATCAGCCAACTGGTTCAATCAATCAATCTACATCTGCAACCAATGCACATATTCAGAAATGGAAAACTAATAGTGAGTGATCCTAAAGAAATATTAGCTTGTTAGCAACTATCGTATCATCTAGCAATGACATTCAAAATTAACCAGCCAAGTTCTGTTCTCATCCGCTTGACTTCAGTTGATAAAGGAGGCCCAACTTCCACGATGCACGGGGAGACTGCCCGGCCGACTAATAAAAGCTTCCCCTAATCTCCTGGGCCGGTGAAGTAAGAGTATAAACTGCTCAACTCTCATATCATAATCTGCATATAGAATTATTATATAGAAACTATTTAGCACTAGAATAGTAATGACATTAAGAACAAAGTCAAAATAAGATATCTCTAATGGCACCATTCAATTAATCAGTCTTCTTCCCAGGGTTGTGTTGGACAATATTTCTCCATGGACTCCTTTTTGCGTTCGGGATCAAGGCTGTGAAGGGGGTGGAAATGAAAAGACATTGGTTACATCCAGTTTTAAGAGAATTCAAGAATTACTAAATAGGAAATTATCTCCTAATAAAATATCATTTCAAATCAATTTTGCAACAGACCTATTTCTAAATCCAAGAAGAGCATAGTGTACAGCACTTGCACAGGCCGAAGCAGGAGCTATGGCAGCTGCAGGAACTGCTCGAACAGCAGAAGCCAAGGCAGGTCCTGCACCTGAACCGCGCTGGAACTTTTTCAAAGGGTTCTGAACTAACACCGAAGCAGATTTACCCAGGCCATCACTGAGACTCTCACAAGCCTGTTAAATCAAGGAAAACAAACTTAATATTGTGATGAATAAGAAAACGTGATGCAAACACAGCTTCCTTATCGTCTACCCCCATTCCTCACAAAAATAAACTTGCAAGGTAAAGGACGCCTACCACTAATAACTATTAATAACTACTAATATTATCCAGGACATGTCACTGTCATATGCAGGACTTTTAATACCCTCCAAATTTATGATAGACTTGGATATCACCTTAGAATTTGAATTAGACTTAATTTAACCCAACAAAACCTACTTATAAGGTGAGAGATGTTCCCTACTTATAAAATACTATTCCGGTCATATCACCATCCAATATGTGACTCTCAACAGTTTCAATATGTGACTCTCAACAGTTTCAATAAGTGTATTGATATTGTTGATACACACGTTCGTTAAATCTGAAATTTACTGAGCAGCTCAAAATTACTAATCTAGTGTTCATTTTACTTGAGGCATTTTTTCTATTTGCCTTTCATCTAACACAAGAATAAAAGGTGACAACATAAAAGCAAAGTATCGTTCTCGATGTTGACATTTTACCTGTTGAATTCCTTGTTGGGCGTCCTTAGGTTGATTAGATCGAACGCCAGTCTTTGATTTATCATTTACAGGCAAAGCAACTGAAGGTGGTATGCTTGAAAGACTATATTCTGCTTGGACAAGAAAGTCGTGTGCTCCAGCAGCTAGATGAACTCCAAGTGCAACAGCTTCAAGCGAAATGCTTCTAAGAAATGCAATTGTACCTGCATAGATTTTACAACATTTAATATGAAAAACTGATCCAGTGTATGAAATTAATATCACAAGTTAGAGATCCAGAATACAAATCATATAATCTCCTTATAAAATATAACAAATGGTAGTGTCAATAAAATTTAGTTAAGGAAATTTCAAAAGTCCCATGAAAATGAACATCAAAGCTGACTTTGCAGCAGTTGTCGTGACTAGACAGAATACTAATTCACAAGTGAAAAGACTTCTTGCCTACCACTAAAGGACATAATATCACACACAACGCTATAGCACACTTTTAGAAACAAACTAAAAGATATGATAAAATTTAGGATAAAATAGGAAAAAAAACTTCCAGTAAATATTTACCGCTTAATAATAAATAACTAAAATCCAAGGAACACATTTAGTAAAAAGAAAATATTATAATTTAGTTAAAATAACTCGTGCAATGCTGAGGTAACCAATAAGTGTTTTGATACACTTCTATTACTACTTTCTGCTTACTTATTTCCTTATAAAGCCAAATTATACAGGTAATCAAACTAGGGAAGAAATATCTACCAATACAACCTACCTCTCTGCAAACCTTTGATCACTCTCCGCTCCTTCTTGTAGTTCTCTACTGGTGACGAAATCAGCTTAGCAGCACCAGTCCCAACTGCAATTAATGATCGTACAGTGGGAAGCCCCCGCAGTATTTTATGAATCTACATAATGAAAATCGTAAATTAAGAGAGCTAAAAATAATCTTCACATTCACAAGGAATAATATCACACTTAGCATACCTGATTCTGAGATATATCTTCCAGCCACTCCCCTAAAGCTGTTTCGCCAACACTGTTCCAACCATAGATGCCAGAAGCATGAACATGTTTCAGGTTAAGCTCGACACCCTGGGACAATAGAACAAACATATATCAGTTCAGGTAAACATGTCCTAAGAAGAAAATATAATTTTTTATGCAAGCTTCACTCTTAAGAAAAAAATCACAGAAAAGTTATTTTACAGTAATTACCAGAAATAGAAAAGGTCAACAATCCTTGTTATATACTCCTTCCGTCCCAAATTATAAGACGTTTCGGGTATTTCACACGAATTAAGAAACTTAATGCCCCTCATAATTACACGAGAGAAATTAAAGGAGTTGAAAGAATAAATATTAATAAATATTTGAGGGTATATTGGGGAAAATGTCATTAATATTGCATTGGAAATGTAAGGTGACTTATAATTTGGGACAAATTTTTTTAGCAAAGTGACTTATAATTTGGGACAGAGGTAGTAATTTTCAGAGTACAACAAGTGTATTTCTAAGACAGCATAAAAATTCCTTTATTTGAATAGACATGCAAATCCAGCATAGCTTAAAAAGGAATGGCTTATTTAAACGTGATTTGATGCCGGCAGACAAAAAGAAACCAAGGTGTTCTGGTAGTCCTTTAGGCACTTCTTGTGCTTTGGAATTATTGTATTTTGGTGGCTATCACCTATTTATTAATATATTATTTTGCCAGTAAAAAAAAGGTGTTCTGTATTTTTATTTTTTTTATAACTTTCTCAAACCAAAACATCACGCCACATGCACTCACCTCACCAAGCAATGCAATAAACAACTCCGCTAATAAACAAAAAATTGATACTATACCATTACCACACTGAGTAAATCAAGAAATTATACAGATACAAAGAAAAGTAAAATAAAATAAAATTTCTTAAATCAACAATTGAAGAGTAAATTGTACCTTCCAAGGGATAAGATTTACAAGTTCTACATATTTCCCACACCTTAATGCTGCTAGGTCTACATGATTAGGACTGTAATCCACGCGAACAATAATAGACCGTATATCTAGTTTCTGAAACCAAAATTAATATACATGTATATTAATATGATCAGCTAGAAGAAAAGTTTGTCAAAGAAACATGCCTTAAAACCAAGTCTAAGATGAACTCTCGACTGCATCTGTTTCTTGAAATCGATACTTACCTGGAAGTAAGGAAGCAATGCCTCTTGTGTGATTGAATGGCATGCATGATCTTTACTTTTCTCAGTAAATGATTTTGAACCCTCCGAATCATGACAATTATTAGGAAAGTGGTCATTTAATGGGTTTTTCCTTCCAAAGAAATCAACAAGAAAATTGAGCTGGCACTGATGTAGATGTAATAGCATAGGTAGAAAAGCAACATTTAACCTGTAGAGGAGGAAACAATGACATAGTTTATGTATAAGGAAATTCCTTGCTACTCATTTATTCCAATATATTATTTAAAAATTTATAGGAAATTCCATCAAGTTGGCTAAAGTTGCAATGAGAAGCCACGCTTTCTAATATCTATCTTATAAATCTATAATCAACATGTAACCAAAAAAAAATGTTCATTTTCTAAACAAGTGAGTAACCCATACCCACAGCCCAAACCGAAATTAGACGGTTTTACCAAAACCGAAACATAGCTCAACTTAGTGGTTAATCTACAAACCCAACCCAAGGTTCAGGTCTTGGTTTGGGTCGCGGGCTCGGCTAAAACTGGCCCAAACCGACCCATGTACAGCCCTTACATATACGGAATCAGGCTACAAAACTCAAACAATGATGTTGTTATGATTTAGCTATAAAGAACTCACTACATGTTTAACAAATACTAATAAAAACAGTTTAGATTTGTATTGTAACAATCTTACCTGTACTCCTCAAGGGGAGTTAGAGGATCTGGTCTTACTACCTCCAAGTCCAACTTAAATGCTTTTGAATAAGATTCCCTAGGATGGCCCTTTGAGTAATAATACCCTAGCACCTTCCATTTCAAAAATAGAATTATGAAAACAAAGAATTTGAAAGTTAGGAGATGTTCAAGTAAACCAAAATATAATTTAATATAACTAAACTAAACCGTCAATATTACCAGTATCCAAGGTGCATTTTGGCTTCTGTCATACAGAAAAAAATCTTGAACTGACAAAGACATCTTAGATACATGTAGTCCACCAACTGGAAATGTATCATACTGAAATTTCATCCCAGACAGTGCAAGCTCCAAGCAAACAGACGTGTTCCTCCCAGAATGTTGTCCATTTTTCCCCGAATCAACCAAGTCAGAACCGCCATACATTTTCCATCTTATATCAAGATTTTTTAAAATTACGCGTCCACAATTCTCGCTGTGGGGTGGGAAATCATTAGAATGAAGTAGGCCATGATGTGCGGCCTTCACTGGTCCAGTTTTTACATTTTCCTCTGAAATGTGATTTTCTAATACTTTTGAAGAGTTGCCTTCATACCATCCACCACTTCCTCTTTCAATCTCTCGATGTGACACATTCCTCAGCTTGATTTTAGAAAGCTCTTTAGAATGTATATCTATAGATAGCTCTGAGAGAGGGCGTAAGTCAGACAAACAATAGCTTTCTATAATCTTTGGAAAGCATCCGTCTTGCAGAAATGAAGTGTGACTACCTTCTGGTCCTAATACAGGTTCAGGAGAGAGAACTTCAGGTTCATCCAAATTCAACTTACCAACCTCAACTAAGCCGTTTCTATCGTGTGGAATGTAAAATCCCGATTCAAAAGAATATGATTGCCATGCATTATTGTCATTTACTTGAAATGCATCTTCACATATTTCATCCATCAAGCCAGCTATACTAGCTCCATCCTTTGAATATGTTTTTGGAGAGCACTGCTCAGACGTTGAAGTCGCTGTGTCATGTCTGAGAGGCTTGTTTTCATTATTAAATCCATCGATCTGCTGTGCCTGTTGAACATTATCCCATCTATTCTGCAAATGCACAATGGACTCCTCGACATCAGGGGCAAATAATAGCTGAAGTTGAGCAGCCAAACGAATCAGAGCAGCAGTTGTATCATAGCAAGTTTCCACATTAAGGTGAGATTTAGATAATTTTAGTTCCCAAAGAAGACCACAAGCACAGTTGGTTTTCAAAATTGCCTCCAGAAAAGCTTCCTGAGCAACTTTAACATACCCGGACTTTTGAAGATGCTCTACACTATAAGTGTCCAGAAGAGAATTAAGCTTTGAAACTAAATGAAGCAAAAGCCCCAGGTCTTGCACTCTAATTTGAAAAACACTTTCAACTGAGTCTGTCATAGATGAACTTGAAAGAGTCAAGCTGGATGCAGCCAACAGACAAGAAACACACTGTTCCCCCATATCTTCTTTGATGCAAGAAAAGCCAGACACGGAATTAGGGACCTCACTCTGACCAGCAAGATTTTTCATAAAGGGCTCATAACTCAAAGCAATGTCAATCAAGCTGAGAACAAAACAAGTCGTGTAAGAGATATCTTGTTCCCTCTTTGAAATACTAGTATCATCTGCATCTTTAGTATTAGAAGCAGGCAAACTGAAAAAGGATGATATTACAACAAACCAATCCACACGACCGCCTACAGCAATAATTGTGCAACAGCTGATAGCAATAGATGTAATTTTATGAGAAATCTCTGGGTCAGATAGATATATGATCTCAGAACCAGCACATCTAGAGGATAATGCATTAGAACCTCCCCCATTACCTCGCTTCACAGAGGAGTTGTTGCAAGTAATCAGAAGAAACTCATGATCAGGAACTCCAGTAACAGACCCATACAACTTGCCTTCGCCATGGGTTAGTCGGAAGAAACTCGCAGCCTTAACACCACCTGTATTACTAACAGATAGCAACTCAAACCTTTGAACCTTCAGCTTGAATTGATGCCATTGTCCAGGAAGCTCACTCTTGATTGAGCTTTCGATACTCTCAGATGTATCCCTACTAATAAGAATTTCTACAGAATCACATTCTAAAAATACCGATGATTGTGAGACTGGAGAATTTTTATCCACATTGGCTTCCTGAGAAGTCTCACATGCCGTTGCATTTAGCATCTGAAGTAAAAGTTCGTATATGCTTTTATATAGAGAATCATTCACCTTAATAACAACTTGAGATAGATGGACATGCATGAGAATTGACGAGCTTAGAATCATCTCTTGTTGAGTTTGAGACTTCCAATCTTCCAAATCTTTCACCGTTGAAGCAGACGCATATTCATACCCTCTTCCGGCAATATCATCTTTTCCCTTTGATTGCTCTGAATTAACAAATAATCTAGCTTTCTTAGCAATCCAAGGACCAGTCACTTGACCCTCCTGCCAAACCACCCGAAAAACAGAGAAACTCCCTCTTCTACGAGGGATGGAAAGAAAACAGCTGCCATAAAATTTCTCATTCTTCACATCATTGGAGATTATTCTACCACTGTCGCTACTTGTTGATGTGATCAAGTATACATCTAGATCACAAAAATTCAACTGAAGAGATTGTGCTGCTACAGACGGAAATCTTTTCTTTGAACTTGCACTTGAAGTTTGGCTACCATCTGAGGTGCAACCCTTGTTCAAAGGGGACAATGAACTAAAATCAAGAGCAATTAACTTTTCCCAGGAAAATGAAGCAGCGCGATCTCCAGCCTTATCAAAAGGAAAACACAGTATTACTCTTGCACTAGAAATTGATATATCACCATGCAAGCATTCTGTATTGGAGAAGGATGTCGCACAGGGACTGAAACTTCGCTTTGTGTCATTTTGAGATGATCCACACTTTTCATCTGAGGTTTCAGAAAAAATCTCTTCGGCTTTATTATGCACGTCAAGTGATTTTCCAATTTCCTTTAGCAGGTTAGTGAGCACATTTATCACAGAAAATATTACCCAGAAAGTAAAAGGGGGCAGGTTCAGTGAGAATGATGTCATCCCAGTCACACAACCATCTGAAGAACTTGATTGCACTGTAAATTTGCAATTGGTGACACCAGAAGTTTTAAACAATGTAACTTTCAGTAAGAAATCCTTATTTCCAAATGGAAAGTCTGTTGCAACTGGCCCAATTAATGAATCTGAATATAGATTGTAAGAGGTAGACAAAGGGAGAGCATCAAGGACCTTAGTTTGTAACTGTCCAACCAAAGCACTCTGATTTTCAGCATCACTTCCAATGTTCAAAAAATTAGCAACTTCTACATGCTTCACTGTCCCATCAAAAGTCATTATTTGAGGACATACCTATTGACATTACAATTCATTAGGATAGAGTTCATTCAAAATTATATAGCAGAGAGTAAAAATAAGCAAACATTAAACTATGGGTAAGGACTAATGAGAATGCAAAAGGATTCACGGAGAAATTATAGAAGAAAAAATGCACCTTCAAGGCAACAACAATTTCATTGCACTCTGCACCAAGATAATCAATCTGTGACCCAACTGTATTACCAATTTTAGACTTATAAAAACAGCTCTGTTCATCATCACAGAAGGATAAAACAACAGATACTCCTGAAAAAGTAGCCCTGAGATTGGTTTCCATGTGATGCTGTTCTGTTGACCAATACCATAAAAAAAAAAAAAATTTTAAAAAACTAGTTAACGAATAGTATACAAAAAGTTCTGAGCTAGACTGAATAATGAAAAAAAGCAGTGCAAATAAAAATGAAGATACAAGTTTCCATGACATCAACTGAAAATAATCATAAGAAGTCAAGTACCAGAGGGAATATGCAAAGATCCAGAAGCAAGGCTGGATGTAGCGGTAATAGCATTGAAAACCGAACATGTCCAGTTCCACATTCCACTACTCCCTAAAGCAGATTGAGAATTTCTCATTCCATCAAAACATTCAAAAAACTGGTCCACGCTGCATGAATTCCCATAATACAAGAATTATCAACAGCATCTAAACATCTGATCAATGACTAATGACTCAAAATATTGGCAAAACCAATAAAATACTAAAACTACAGACTTGATTTAGCTTTCATGTAGATAACCGTAATCCTGAGGAAGTGATTTTGCAGGGATATTGTGAACATGGTTATCAAATTGAGATTCAAATTGTGAATCGGAATACCTATTTTCCGAATCATGAATTGAATCTTATTATGAATCGTAAGATACATAGTAAATAAAATTATGACATTTTCAAGTAAAAACAAGTGAGATAACAAAATTACAAGACCAATTTTTGTACATTTGTCAGAGCAAAAAGTTTCACACTGCAAGCAAATCACAAACAATCATATGTATGACTTTAGAAGTGGTTATCGTTTCATTATATGACGCTTATGACTGATTCAGTGTAAAAATCTTTACACTGATAGTATAGATAAATTAAATCCAAATTATAAACTAATTAATATGTCATACATGAACCTCAAAATAATCAAAGGTTCAAGTCATAATTCAATTGAAAAAAAGAAAATTGATTGCTAACGTTGACCAAAAAACTGGTTAACTAAACCATGTTTAGGTAGTGATTCATTAGGATTTCATTAGAATGAATCACGAATCATCATAGTGAATTGAAATTTACCATAATAAATCGAGATTCAAAATGATATTCATCTCCAAAATAGATAAGCACTAGAAATTCGTGTTGATTAGGTTTAGTTTTTTGTATTAAAACGAGTGAGATACTGACAACCATGATTGTGAAGATTAAATAAAATTGCACAACATACACAAATTAGTGAAATTAGTTTTATGTAATAACAAAGGAAGTTAAATTGTTAATTAATATAAATGAAATTGAATTACACTACCATGTTAAAGTTTTTAGACTCGTCTGCAACACGTCCAACTAGTTGAGAATTGAGAATCTAGAGACAGAACAATGCTAGATATACATTTTAAAAAATAAAAAAATAAAAAACAATCAATTGAAGAATTTGTTTTCCTCTCATTGGGAGGGAAGGGAGGATCAGTTTACAGCATATGTTCAATTAAAAAGCAGCAGAAAAATTCCACCATTCAAAGAGAACGCATAAAAACTTTGAAGTATGGGTACGCATAAAAACTTTGAAGTATGGGTACTCCGAATTTCAAACCGTACCTGGTACTATACCCATACCGATACTCGCTCAGGGTACGTGTAGGTAAAAAGTTAAAAACCGAGTACGTGGCAAAAATATTTTTTAATACAAACTCGCTACCACGTGTAGGTACTTTTTTTAGTGCATACCAGTCCGGGCCTTTGATAGATAAATATATTTTCTTATTGAGAACAAAAGATTATAAATTTTGGTTATACCATCTACTTGTTTTAGTTTCTTTATTACATTGTGCACTCTTTCCCTATTTTCTAATATACAAATAATCTTTCCCTATTTCCTGCTATGCAATATATTTTCTTTCTATCCTAATTTTCGGGTGTTTCATATATTTATTTCCTAATATATTTAGATTTGTAATTTAGTAAATTATGAAAGAGATTTCCTTGTAATAAATTATTTATGATTTCTATCTTTTCTACAATCTAACTATACAACAACAACAACCAAGCTTTAACTCACTAAGTGGGGTCAGCTTCGGCTACATTGATCAAATGACACAATAATGTTCTATCATATATCATGTCTCCGTCCAACTCTTTAATCTCTAGATCTTTCCAAATAGTTTCTCTTTTAGTTTTTCAAGGTCTTCCTCTGCCTCTAGTGATTTGTCTGCCCTCCGTGTGATTTATTCTCCTTACTACATATAATCTCCAGGTCTTCTCTCTACATGTCCAAATCACCTGAGTCGAGTTTCCACCATCCTTACTACAATAGGGGCTAGTGCTACCCCAACTCACTCCCTCTAAAGTTGTCATACCTAATTCTATCTTGTCTAATCTTACCACACATCCAACGCAACATTCTCATCTTTGACATGCTTACTTTATTCTTATCTTAGTTTTTTACCGTCCAAAAGTCTTTCCCGTACAACATTGTCAGTCTTACCCTTGAGCTTAAACAATCTAATCATGTTGATTTAAAATTTATACTAACATACCTATACCCCTTGAGCTTAAACAATCTAATCATGTTGATTTAAAATTCATACTAACATACCTATACCTTAATTTCTTTTGCAAAATTTAATATTCTGTACCTGGTACTATACCCATATACATGCAACATAGCATAAAGCAGTGTTGTCGATGGCGGATGGTGGCCCATGGCGGAGAGCCAAAATCCCGCCATACCAGCCGCTCTGCAGCACCGTTATTGCGGATTATGGCGGAAAAACCCGCAGTAGCGGACGATATTTACCATTGCGGCAAGCCCAAAAACCGCCATGTATATCGGCCATAGCGGCCGTGGCGCCGCAATTTGATAACACTGGCATAAAGAAGGATATTTTAATTGAGATTGTAAGGAGAAGTGAATTGGTCAAACTAAAATTTTCGTAAATGCAAAATTCTCTAGAAGGACTGTTGGACACAATTTATTACTACCTTTCTCCCAAATTATAAGACCCTCTTGAGTTTTCTCTCTGTCCCTTTTTATAACACACCTTTCAAATATCAAGGTGCATTAATTATTTTTTACCAACATAGCCCTAATAATGTTACATCTTTTTCTACAATTTGTAATAAATATTCTTATACAAACATTACCTGATTCTGACAATCTTGTAAGCTTACACAAATTGTCAACCAATTTAATACGATAATCAACTTCCTTAATTCCCGTGTTTTTCTCAAGAGGGACTTATAATTAGGGACGGAAGTAGTACTAGTACTAATTTACTATCACATTCTTCTTTTAACAGACATTTAAATTTTAAAACGCGTCAAACAAGGACTTACCTTGCCCCAAAATCAGGTTCTTGAAAACCATCTTTAAGATCCATATGAGTAGAAAATGGCACCCAGTCTGAAATAAGATTAGCAGAAGGAAGCAGAGCTTCAGGGGATTCTGGATCTTCTGGTTGAGTCAAGGAGGCACAATCGGCACGTAAACTACCATGGCCAGTTATCATTTCACCGGTGACATTGGCAATAGAAACTAAAGTTGATGAAGGATTCAACAGCGCGGAATTTAAATGTGAAGGCCCTCTTAAGTCGTGATTCTTGCAATTGGCATCCATATTCAAATTTTTAAGAGTTTCCCATGATTTCAATAGCCACTCAATTGAGCCAGGCTGAAATCTTAACACTACGGGATCAACATAAACATCTGCATCCACCTTGCAAATGTCCAAGGAACCATTCTTCCAAGGAATACTTAATTTTATATTTCCACCAAATCCACCTTGTTTCCCAGTCAAGACCGGACACGTGGATCTAGTTGACCCCAAACCAGCTTCACCACATCCTGCTTCCGACACATGTTGACCCAGTAACTCGTTCTTCTCATTATCTATTTTGAGAATCTCAAGTACCGCCCCATCAAACTTCACAAAGTTTGTTAACCGGCTTATTCCAAGGAGATCAACCTTAGACTCATTATCTTCAGACAAACTAGTCCCACATTGTATTTCAGAAACCCGAAGAACTAAAGTACCATGACAATCTATTTCCCTTCCTTCATCATTTTCCAAAATCGGATCAAACGCAACAATCACATTTGTTATTTTTACATGAAAACTTGTAAGCAACCACTTTATCATATTTGCAATAGTTTTCACACCCTCATGAACATCCATTGAAATTGACTTCATAGCATCATCTCCTGTTTCATTAGCCCTATTTGAGCTATATTTGATTTCACAATTATCTTTATCAACATTAGAAGAACCACAAGCTTCATCTTCAGTGGTCGAGGTTCTATTTACGCAGGGAGAAACAACGAGTTCAAGCTCGTTCACTTCAACCTCACAACCTTTACCACTCCAAGGCATTTTAACCAAAAGATATCCAATTGACCCTTCCTTTACCATTATAGATGATGTTTTACCGAGCTGTTAAAACAATAGCAAAACAAAGCAATAAAGTAACGGAAAATAATAATATATTGATGAAAATTTCAACAGATAAAACCTTCACCGTAGAATTTGATACCAAATAACAAAATTGAGGAATAGGAAACGAAAAAGAAAGAGATAGCGAGAATTGGAATGATTACCTTGGCGTTGATGAAGTCGAGATTGAGAGCGAGATCGGTGAGCTGAATGGTACCTTGAGAAAGTTGAACATCGAGCTGGTCAAGGTCAATTTCGCCGAGAATAAACTGTCCTAATTTTTTCTTGAGGAAGAATTTGCAAACCCTCTTGAGAGCCCAGCGGGAGAACATGGCTTCCGCCGATTTTGCAATCTTCCAGGGGAACATGATGATGACGGAAAAGAGGAATTGAGGGAGAGATTAGGGTTTACGTTGAAACCGCGGAAGCGGAAAACGGCGTTGGTTGGTTGCGATATTTTGGGGTGGCGGAGACCCAAAAACATAAAGCTCCATACGCAAAGCAACCACGAGAAATTAAATTAATGAAGGAATGAAATAGATATGCATGATTTTTTTTTCTTTAAATTCAACTTGAGTCTTGTTCTACCGTCTTAATGATTTATACTATTCTGCCTTTTTCGTCTTTTTCTTTTTCCTTTTCGCGTTTTCCAAGTTGTAATTCTATTTTATCCTTTTCGAATATCGGTTTTTGACTTTTTATATATTCACTCTTTAGTCAAAAAGAATAGTGTATATAGTATATATTCATATTCAATGAGTTATATTTCATTTTAACATTTTACTTTAGTATATATTTTATTATTTATCTTCAATAACTATGTTTTTTATCAAATTATAATTATTATTTTATTTTATTTTTGGTCCTGTTTTTTTATGATTAAATAAATTTTTCATCTCAATAACTATATCACAATTTATTTTTAATGTCTATAATATTTTTCATAAATTTTTGTCGTAGTATATTTTTTTATTATCATTTTTAGTATTACCTCTTATAGTAAAACTAGTAGGATATTTGTGTGAATTGTTGATATTGGATGTACTTGTAATAATAACGTAAAAGCTAATACCATCTTTTATTATATATATATAATATATTATATTTGAAGTTTATTTTGGTCTCATAATTTTTAAAATAATTATGAGTCTCTTAATTCTATAGATTGAGTTAATTTTATATATTGAGTCACGTTAATCTTTTCCAACAATTTTGTTAGTCAAAATTAAATAATAAGGTTATGTAACGCTGACATGGAAATCACGTGGTTTTGACAATCTTTAAAAATGCTTTTAAAGATGTATAAATGGTCACTATAATGTTTTTTAAATTTTAATTACTATTTTATTTTCATCCTCAAATTTATTCCATTTATTTCTATATCTGGTTTTAAGTTCTAAAGTTGAAGAATTTTCAATATATGACACGTCAATATCTTTACAGAAAAGAAAATCAAGGTCTAAAAATTCATTTTGTAGGACACGCCAACAACTTGCAAAATTTGTGTCACAAGTCTTTGATAACATGCATTTTTCATCATGAATTTAGCTCAATTTCGGCGTGTTTTTGTGTCATTCGTGTTACTTTTGCCATGTTATGTTGGTTTTGTATTGTATATTTTAAGTACTGGTCAATATGCGACGTCTGTGATGAAAAACAATGGGAATGGAAAAATGACATAAAAAAGAAAGTAGCACACTGACATTATAGACACATAAGGTGAGACGTCCGTCATGCCTTTTTGTATGAAAGTTGTCAGCTAGAACAAAAGCAGGAGTACATGTTTGAAGACCATGACGGGCAGACCGTCAGCAACGCACGTCATGGATCCACATTCAGAATTCCAACTCAGCACGTCATTATGAACTGTACGCCATGCACCATGACGCCCAGACTTAGTTTTCATGAAATTTCTAAACAGCTTTCTCACGATTCTAGCCCAATTTTGAATATTTTTACACGTTTTGACGCACTTCCAAAGTTGGAATTTACCTATAAATAGAATTGTATCACTTGAAACAATACATTCAAGTTTATTTACAATACTAAATTCACTAGTTAGAGTATAAAGATTCCACATTTTGGTATTTATGCAATTTTATTTTTTAGACATTTAGAGTGTTGTTACTACTGCATTTTCTTTCTAGCTTTATTACTTCATTATTTTGCTGTTGTATCGAATCAAAGTCTCTCTTCGGAGCAATTATTTTATGCAAGATTTGGCCTTTAATTAAATTTCAAGTTCTTTTTTGTTGTATTTTTTATTGTGTCTTCACAAAAAGTATGTAGTTTATGTTTAATCGATATGTTTGAGTAGTTTAATTGAGTCCGAAACGTGAGGATCGTCACAACGAGAATATTTTTATATTCTAAAAATTATGTTTTTAATATAAAGTTTTACTATGAAAATAGAAACATTAAAATACCGCTTGCGCGTTTAATGAACAAAAACGGTATTGGACTTAGAAAATTATTATTTTTAATTAATAAATCCCAAAAGAATTTTTAGTTTAAGAATATACTATATTTGAAAAGGAAATTTTAAACATGTAGTTACGCATTACGAAAGTAGGAAATTACGAGTTTAAAATCAAGTAACAGACACGCGAAAGTGTGTGGTATCCCTGATTTCGTTTTTTTCTACAATTTTTTTTGTTATGAATAAATTTTGTAATTTGTATGAGTAACATAGGTAGACGGAAATCAACTTTTTGGTCTCTCGTTATTAATATTGATTTAATTCCATTATTTTCACTTTTTTGGCATAAAACCAATCATTTGAGTAACGTTAGCTAAACATATGAACGATAGATAGCGGTAGTTGTAATTGATCTATGTGGATTCGACAAACCTTTTATATTATACTGATATAGTCGTATACTTGCGGCCTATCAAGTTTTTGGTGTCGTTGTCGGAGACCAATTTTTTCAATATCGTGACTCCATTGTTACGCCGTATAGACTAAGTCATTTTTATGTTTTTAATTATTTTTTCCCACTTTCGATTGTATGCGACGAACCTAGAGCAATGGGAATCTATCCCAACTAATCGACTAAATTGAATGTTACCTATGTGTTAGACGTCAATTACAATAAATCCAGAGAGATATGGCAGAAAACGACAATCGCACACTTAAAGATTTTGATGTGCCCTTTAATGAGGAGCCTCATTCAAGTATTGTTGCCCTGTGATTGTGGAGAATAATTTTGAACTTAAACCCTTTATGCTCCAAATAGTGCAAGTGAACCAATTCTCCAATAACCTGACGGAGGATCCGAATTTGTACCTTTCTATCTTTGTGCAATTCGCTGACACGCTCAAGTGAAATGGTGTTGATCCTAAAGTCATCAATTGCGCTTATCCCCATTATCTCTTAGGGACAGAGCCAGAGCATGGCTACAATCCCAGTCGTCTAATTCCATTATGACATGTGTCGCTTTCGCGAAAATAAGGTGTCGGCACAACAGAAGAGTCGCCACCTTTCGTTATTTATCCCTCAGAGCGGGAAAGGAAACGATCGGAAAAACCTTACGAAAAAGGGTAAGACAAGGTCATTGCAACCGTTGTCTGGGTTCGGGAGTCGGTTACGCAAGGGGAAGGTATTAGCACCCCTCACGTCCGTCGTACTCGACGGGATCCACGCTTGTTTGGTTTACTTGGACGGGTTGGTTTTATTCTATCTACCTATCACGGCTGGCTGAAAAAGAAAAGAAAAATGACTCGGCAAAGCGTCGCGCTTTATGCCTACGTATTCTCATCAGAGAATGAGAAATCAGAGTCAACGTAGTTCGGCCTACGAAGGGTTATGGGGGAAGGTAGCTCGCCAAGACATCGCCATCTTGTGCCTACGTACTCTCAACAGGCATGAGAGATCAGAGCTCACGTAGTTCGGGAAACTACGATTTATTTCCTATCTTTTACGACAGAAGTGTTTTTTATTGTGTTTGCGACTTCAACCGCACTGGAGACTATGACCTGAGAGTGAATGCGTCGCATGTCACCCGAAGGGTACCATACTAAACATCCAGACTATGGAAAAGAAACTCTCCCACAATCCTTTCTCAGATAGCTTAAGGCTCGTAATGTACGAAAGAAATCATTCATGATTACTGTATCTTAAACTGTTTTGAGATGAGAAGAGAACAGACCCAACTAGGAGGGAGACTATCAAGTCCTACTGTTATCATGTCATGGATTCATCCTATGGTTGAGGTTTGAACAGGGAACTCCTAGAAGTTGTCATGCATAGGTTGCAACCTAAAAGTCTATCATCAAATCCTTATCAAAGGAAATGAGAGTCCTAAGGGATCATGTCAATGATACACCAAAACAGACAAAGCATCAGCTTAACAGTAAAATGCATGCAATGCAAGTGGGGGAGGAAATATGTGTGGGGCTTCAGCCTCCACAAGCTCATCTCAACCTCAAGCCAGAATGAAATAACAGTAATCATACTGAAATATAAACAACATGCTATCAAGCAATAAACAGTAAACTGCAATCATACAGATAAAATGAAATAAAATGCCATCAGGCAAACAAACCACATGGGCAAGGGAGTTGGGCTCTACCGAATACCCGCAAGCAAAGTCACTCAGTAACAATACAAGCAGAGGTAGAAACTCAACCTCTAGTGCAATCATGCTCCTAGATTCTACCTATTCTAGATATGGACTTAATCTAATGCAACAGACAAGTCAAGCAAAACACACAATACAGAAAAGAAAACAGAAGAAAGCCTCAGCTCCTCCAGCAGCAACTCAGTCTTCAGACTTCAATCACTTGCTTTTCCAGGTTTCAACCCTACAATATGAGTTTCAACTTATCTTCTCCCTTAAGCTTCAGCTTCTTTGATCAGCTCCACCTTCAGGCTTCACCTAATCTTCAGGGATCTTCAAGTATCAACTTGATCTTCATGCTCTTCAAGCTTCAGCTGGAATGGCAGTCTTCAAGGATTCATCCTCTTCAATAATCTTCAATGAAGTCTTCATCTTCATGCTCAGGCTCTGCCTCTCTCAAGACAATCAAACCAGAGAAAAATCACTTACTGGATAAGCTGGGGGATATTGAACTGCTTATTTGATCACCAAAGGTGACCTTTAAGGGTTCAACATCAAAGGAATGGTTCCCTCAAAAGTTCTACCTCCTAGGTATATCACTTATCCCTCCAAAGGAGAGAGGTGTATACCATGGAAGGACTTTGAATCATAGGGAGGAATGGAGGTGAAAGATACCATCCATGTTTGAGAAAGAAGTTATCAACATCTAAGCTCTTCCTAATCCCTGACCCTAAAACAAAACAAAAAGAAAAGAAGAACAAGCTCTCAAGCTCCTCAATGCATCTTCCAATCTTCTATCATGCTCCACA